CCAATCTACCGAACGTAGACAGCAACGGTGTCCATACCCTATAAGAAAAGCACACGAGCCGACCGATGCCTTGCTTCTCCCCTACCCGCTTCTCGAGATACTAGAGGATACTACTCCGTGAATCCTACCAGACCAAACCCAAAGTCGCGTCACTCGAACCCTTGTCCCAGTCGGTCGACCTACCTAACAGGAAATAGTCGAGAGGATGATATGAGAATACGACGGGTGACTCGGCGCAGAAACAGTTTCGCCACTCTTACTTCTCCCAAGCTCGTTTTATAAGGTTACCGAAGCAAGCATAACAGCCTAATTACCAATGGCTTCAGGTTACCTGGCACTCCCGCCCACAGGTACCTCTAAGTTTGGCGCTATAGCTCAAACAAAGGTCACAGTAATTAAATTTGAGACACGTGGCACTCCAGCCCACACGTGCTCAGGATATCTGGCTCTCCTGCCCACAGATACCCACACAGAGACTATGACTTATCCGGGACTCCTGTGCCCAGAAAGGAAAATCAACACAATTTGTACAGTACCAAAGCTAGAATTCCAAGTTAATTTTTCAAAATTTCCAGAACAATTCCAAAACCAATCATGAACTTGGAGCGCTCAACTCCGTACTGGGCCAGCCCTTGCGATGCTACCAGTGCGATGATCTGCACAGGCTAGTGCGGCTACTGAGGAGCGCCGCTTACAACGGCGCCACCTACTACAATAAACGATGTAGGTTGAACGTAGATAATAGTCTTCTTGAAAATTGTAGGTTGGGTTGAGGTGACGAGTTCCCCAACTCGTCCAACTCAGGTCCACTTTTATAGACTTTCATACCCCCACAAACGGTACTAAAACAAAGGTTACACTAACGTTGCACGAAGGTTACACTAAAATTGCAAGTCATCTACAATAAAACTGCAAGTTTTCTAGAATATTCTGGAACATCTTACTCTAGAAGCTTCTACAACAATCCAGAGTCTTCTGGAACTCTCCAGAGTATCTGACTCTAGAAGTTTCTTGAACAATCGAGATTATATCCACTTGATCCAATTTTCTCTGTCATCTGATCCAATCATCTGATCCATTTCGAATGATCCAATCCACTTTGGATCCATGATCTCATTGTTGCAGACCGAGCCACTTGTTCTTAGAGTTGAAGCGTACGCATCGGAAACGACGACGGGCTATGTATTTGTTTGCAAATTTCCTTTTGTATGGGGCATGGTAGAGCCTTCCAAGGCAATGGCCTTCTTCGAACAACTCCCCGAGACGTGCACAGAGATCTTCGACAATTTTTTCGCGAACTGCTGCTATTCCAGATGGAACTCTTGTGTCATGAGGAAGATCCACACCTTTAAGCTGGACAATGCTGTGCCTTCTATCGTTAAAGAAACCAGGGGAGATATTCACACCGGACAGTGACCAATTCTTAAGTGAGAATGATTTTTTTCGACGGCCTGTGTGTTCTTCAGCATTAATGAGATACTGCCGGCACTGCTAGATACTTCTTTTATCTCACCTGGGAAAGATCGTCTTCAACTGGTGCCGAAGGTTCCGAGGGTCTCTTGCATGTAGTCAACTTGTTGTAAGCGAAGGGATGCGATTCATTGTGGGCAGATCGTTCAATACGCCTTGCCACCGCTGTTTATTTCATGTATCTGATAACGTCAATATCAGGGAGATTGAGATGTTTCGTTTCCGCATAAGCCATAACAATTAGAGATAAGTGTGATTCAACACATTGTTGACGGTACCTCTCTACAACAGAGGCTGATTGAATAGCCCGAGAATCATTACCCTCTCTCATCGTTAAAGTGTGAGCTGCAGCTAAAAGGCAAAACCCGCAACTATAACGATCCGTTTGCTTCTTGAACTTCAGAATGTCCAGGGCGTGGTTCTTTTTGTTGATCTTCCACTGCAGTTGTGGAAAGAGAAATTGAAGATATTCCTTCGCAGTCGCAAGAAGTACCTCTGGAGCTTTCTTTCCGAGGCCATCCCGAAAGAAAAGTTGTGCTTCAGGGATGGATTCATTGATAGAAGACGGCAAGGACATGATGTAGCCCAAATGAATGTTTCCTAGATTGATGGGTAAAAAGATAGAATGAACAGTATTTACTTTGCTACAGAGGACACTGCCAAGATCTTTGCGAAGTGATTATATTAACTGCCGGTTCAATTTTCGTTTGCGATTTCTTTTGCGTAGAGTGTTCTCAGAGCACAATGCAGTGCCCTGATTCGAATTCTCGATTATAACAAACCGCTTTTGTTCAAACTGATCCAAACCGGCATCGAGAAGCACACTGTGTACCTGCATCTGTGGTTGGCAGTACTCAACACAACTGAACACATCATCTTCACAGGATTGTTGCTTCAATTTTCTGTCTATGTAAGAGCGAAGTACAGTGATATCTTCTTTGGTAAAGTTACGTTTGGTACCATCTTTAGCGATAAACCTCATCGATTTTGCTTGTATGAAATTCAAGAACGCATCTGCCTTTGCTTGACGTTCACCCTTCTCCGTAGATAAGTTTCAAACTTCAAATGTAAGTTACATCGCAAAGACAGAGGCAGACATCACGCCCTTCATGTTTCCACAGTCCCTCCAATCCAAACAAGACTGCACCGATATCCCTGAGCGCTTTTGATGGTGTTACCTCCTACAAGATGGCAGTCGCCAAACCTCGTCGGCAACACCAAGCGGCTCCCGCACCAAACTTTCGAGTCACTACAGTTCCGACACCTTGACTTGAGCGATGCGATGCCCCGCTCCAGCGTGAGACCAGTCTCAACGCTGCGTAACGCACTTCTTATTGCATGCGAAAGGCGTGGGGGCGCGAGACAAATAAACAGCGAAAAGGCGCAGAAGATTAAGACGCAGGAAGGAAGAGTAGTTGGGAGGATGCGGGAGTTGGCATGAAAGATAAGTGCAAGACTAGAAGCGGGGAGTCGAGAAGCATATGAGAACACAGCGTAATGGGGGCCCGGGATGGAGGAGGGATGTCCTGTCGATTTTATGTGAGGCCGGCCTATTTCCGACCTAGTGATCTCGCTACAAGCCAGCTTGTAGCGAGATCACTAGGTCGGAAACATATGTTGTGTAATGGTGAGAAATAATGGATCTCAAATATTTGGTAGGAAATTGGAGGAAATTGGATCCACTACTTTGGTAAAACATTTCGTTGTGAAACTAAGGTTGAAAGCCGATTCCTCAGTTATCTAACTAACGTAACATGGCTTCTTGCCATAAAGAGGCGAAGAAGAAAGCAGAATGCTGCATTTTATTTCGATATACTACCATGTAAGTGAGCGATGTGTTTCTGCTTCCCTTTCCTTCTTCGACGTTCATGCAATTGGGACCTGGACAGTTTGCCAGTTTCTTGTTTTTCTTCTCAGCATGCCTTGCTCTTATTCTCCCTCTTCGGTTCGTTGCTCATCGTCCTGTTCGTCTGGCTAGCTCTAAAATTCCTTTTTGTAGTTCCTTATTTTCTTCATCCCGTAAATATTGCGCGGTAATCAAAAGGCGGCCGTAGACAAGGCGCTCAATTCGCTCCTTGTGCTGCGCACTCATCCGTGCTGCAATCGTTCTCAGTTCCTCTCCTTTCTCCGGGCTTTCCTCCGAAAGACACTCAGTCTACAACTCGAATGTGTAGTGGTATACATTGTCGTGGTTGGCACTCTCAGATGGACTCTCCATATCGCAAACATTGCTTTCCATTACATAGTCCGGCTCAGGCCAAACTTCCTCTTCCCTCCATTCATGCGTGCGACCCGCTGTTCTCGGTCGTTCAATCTCATCCTCGACCGCAGCATAGTGACTCCCACCCACCCTGCTTTCATTTTCTCTCCGTATCTTTTCCATGCGACTCGAGAAGTCTTTGGAGAATTCCATCAGAGTCTCTAGAGTGCTGAACTAATTGCGCCCCTCCACCTTCCCTTTGTAGTATACGTACGAAATGAATGCTTCACGACCCTTTAAAACGAACTTTCCGAACACAGCCTCCTCACATAGAGCAGCATGCCTTGCTCATGTCACTGCAGCTACTAGAGTAGTCGTCGGAGTCCCCTACTCAGCGTGAGATCAATCTCAGTCACTTTGTGACGGTAGATCCGTGGGGGACTCGATAATAGAGGCAGAACAGTGGAAGGCGAAAGGTTGCGATGGCCAAAGCGTGTTGTGTGTCGGTGGGAGGGCGACAGAATGTGCGGGGTGCCGGAAGGTTGGAGAGCGACAGGTTGCGCGGGGTTCCGGATGGTGCGATTGCGACAGGCTGTGCGGGGTGCCGGAGAGTGAGATAGAGAGTGGGAGGGTTAAGAGAGGAAACGCGGCAATTAGGAGTGCCGACGACAGCAAAATTTCTTTCTAAATATGTATGTTTTTTTGCCGATGACGGCAACATTTCGAAATATTTATGGTTTTCAGAGGTTTTCTCTTTATAGTTTACCTTGCGCAGAGATCCCTACGTCCCAGAATCTCAAAGGTGGCGGGCGTCGGAACTGATAAAGTTCACTGTATCACAAGAGTTCATATTCACTGCATCGCAAGAGTTCACCGCATCGGGGGTGTCACTGTACCGAGAATTTACTCTGTAGCGACGCACTGGTTGTGTTGCGCACTCTTTAGAGCGCTGTATGGCTAAAAATGTGCGCTCTGGTTGCCTTGCTCTAAGTGTTGCGCAATGCAAAAATTGCAAGAAAATTTGCCTTTCAGAAATGCGCTTGTGCGAAATTACAAATGCTGAAAATATTCACATTTCTATTTCTGAAAAGCTTGTTGCATAAACCCACAAACCACTGTGCAAATAATGGTCCGTGGCTTGAAGAGGTCTACTGGGGTGTGTAAGATATGACGAACACGTGTATGTGGTTCGACATTACAGTCGTACGAGTGTGCTCCCTACACCTGTGGACACGTGGGGAGATGTGCGAGTGATTCAAGGAGAGGGTGCGGTTGAATTGCGCCCGTGGCGACGTGGCGAGTTGTGTGTGGAGTTGTGAGCTCAACCGACATGGGAAATTATACAAAAAAAGAAGAAAATAGCAGCCATGTCAAACTGCTAGCGCTGACGTTCAACTGGCCCGTCGCTGTTGGCCTGCTGGCGCTTTCGCTTCGCCAACCGCCCTCGCGCATTGCTTTTGCGGGTCTTCGGACCATACCCCCCGCCCCTCTCCCGCCCTTCCGCCCTCCCACCCCTACCGCCCACCTTTTTCGCCCTTCCCCACACTCACGCACCCCTCCCCAACCCTTTTCACTCCGTATCCGTTTATGTCCTCTTTTCAATCCATCTCAACTTTCAAAATTTCCCCCTATCATCATCCCCTTCCTGCCCCACTCTCGCGCCCCTCTACCCTCGTCTTCATCTTCCCTTTCCTCATTACGATCCCCTTGGCAGTGGTCGCAACGTCGTTGTAACATGGGTGCTCGTCCAACGCGCTACGCTCCGGCGGCGGTCACCGCGGGCCGTTCGCGCGTCTGGTGCCGAGGCCTATGTATGACTGGTCCTGACTATCGCGGAACTATCCTCACCCTTATCCTTGCCGTGGCCATTTTCTCCGCCGAATCCGCCGTTTCGTTCCCATGGCTTCTTTCCAATCGCACGCTCGTTGGCGTCATTCTACTCGTTGCCCTTATTGTTTCGTTCATTATTACTGTCGTTGCTGCCTATCTTGCGTCTACAACGGACCCAGGTATTATCCCTCGCGCGAACACTGTACCACCATCCTTCGCCGCTTTTCCCACCGTACGGGAGCGAAGACTAATCTTCCGAGGCAGGCCCATTACCGTCAAATTTTGTGACACATGTAGAGTATGGCGCCCTCCAAGAACAAGTCATTGCGCAACTTGCAACAATTGCGTTCGGAGGTTTGATCATCATTGCCCTTGGCTGGGCAATGATGTTGGCTTGCGGAACTATAGATCTTACTTCACCTTTGTATCTGTCGGCACAGTGGCTGCCACTATAGCTATTGCTACTTCCGTTCTCACGATTCACTGGTCAACTGCAAACTTTCGACAGCAGTTCCCTGATGATAGCTACGCTTCCTCGCTGCGCCGCGCTCTCTCCGGCCCCATTGCCGTCAACCTCGCTATCGTCTTACTCTCCACTCTCGCTCTTCTCTTTACTGGTGGCCTTACTGGCTTTCATCTGTATCTTATGGCAAACAATGTTACGACAGCTGAGTCGTTTAAAAAGCGTAATCGAAATGCGGCCCATCCCGAAGACGATTTGCGAGGATGCTGGTCCGTGCTGTATTTGCAATGCACCCGACGGCAAGCAAGCGCTGTCACTGACGGTTTTCTCGGCCCAGCATATCCGGAGGAAGATGAAATATTGGCTCTCGTCGATGCACAAGTTGAAGAAGAACGCGTTGCCCAGATGGAAGTTGGTAGACCTGGAATAATTGTCTCTCCCCCACAAGTAGCGCAAATCTAGAAGCCGTGCAGTGCGCTACGCAGGAAGCTTGATGGGGGATTTTGAAAACGGCTAGTCGCGGGATGTGGGCGATTTCGGAAACCGCTCGAATCTGATCATTAATACGGCCTCCTTGGCACTCTTTGCACTGCTCGTCTTGCGGGTGGTGTCACCCCGAGCATTTTCGTTACAAGTTTTGCGTCGAGATAGATCCGAGGGTGCTTTGAATGTTTTCCAATGCGTTCAAAACTCGGTTTCTGGTGTACACTAGTGGTTGTAGCACAGTGCCCATATGAAAAAGGCAATTGGTGCAGGTACCTTGCCCGGGACGAATCCTGCATGGTAAAATATTTGGTTATCTGTGTAACAGCAAGACTAAGTAATGATTACGTGACTGTAGCAGAACACTTGATATTAGATGAGTCGCGCTTTAATTCAAAAGCTGCGAATCATCTGCGACACGCTGTGTCTTTAGAAGCAAGCGGGGTAATGTCTTCCGATCAACTACATCTTCATCGACATTCAGGTTTTCACTGCGAACAATGGTTTTCGCAGTATAATGCGCTTGGTGCACACATTTCAGTTGGAAGATGCACTCCTGCAGAAATTGAAATTAAGCATGCTACCAGCCATCCGCCAAACGTAACTACCGCTTATAGTTAGTTGGACGAAGACCGGTGGTGATTGCGTCTGCCGCTCGAGAGGGCATTGGAGTTAATACTTCCTTTCAATATTTAAATGCGTAAATCTTATTGAGGTGCAATAATTGATTTGACAACGTTCAAAACGTAGCTGGTGCTCACCAGCAAGATGTTGCTGAAGCTCAGTAGTTTTTCAATTCTCTGTATGTTCTAACTGAATGTAGCACTATAATTACATTTTGCTCTTTTCGAAGCCTCTAACTATCGTGTACATGATAGCGTGTCTTCTTCTTTCGCGAAGCCGACAATCACTTTGAGACTTCACTTTGAGACTTCACAAGGAAAGCTCAGGGACTACGAGGTGTCAAAGTCCGTCTCGCTTGGTGTCGGCGAGGCTGCAAGATCGACATTGCCTGGCTGCGGAGGGTCTGATACTGTCATTCTATGTCTCTCAAAAGCGACATCTGCATTACCACCAGTCATTCTGCTCCTAGTCAACCTTTTTCGTACGATCTCAGCAGCAACGATGTTTTCTGTATCAGCTCGAACTACGTTTCTCGGTCTTTCAAAAGTAAAAGGATCATCCGTAATTCCAGGTCCGCATAAACTATTGATATGGCCCTGAGTGGGCTGCCGTGGCGCAGAAGAACCATAAGCATCTGTCTCGTTGTTGGTTGCCTCTGAGTCACCTAGTTCTTGCCTGAGTTCATCTATATCGCCATTGATAGCTACCGTGACTCTGCTTCCAGCATGTGATTCACATGAATCTATTGCGACGGTAAGGGCCTCATCTTCCACCCAGCCAGCTCCTGTTTTCTCCTGCTCAACTAGATCTGCGACGCCGCTCAAATTATCAAGATCATGAGGATCAGGAAGAGCTTCGAAACTGGGATGCTGAAAAGTTGATACGAGGCCAGGCTCGATTTCATCACACCCGTGTTTTCGGCCCTCAAGCTCTTCAATGCGGTCTTGGGTTTCAAGGACAGATCCGTGCTCAAGAACGCGATCAAAACTTTTGTTGCAGTGCAACACAAAGAGAACTGCCAGCACACTTGGAACGATAATTAACGCGCTCTGGGCAGCGCTCTTGTTCAAACCAAAGACTCCAATCATTGTCAAAAGATGTAAAAACAGACCAAGCCATATAGAATACAAAGAACCACCAAACATCCGCCCACCGGCTTCATAGTCATTGTACGTGGTGAAACACACATTGTACTTAAAGACAATGTAGCTGATTCCGAAGTAACCCACGCAGCAAAAAACGATAAAGGGTTGAATCGTGCAGTATATTAACCCGAGTAGAGAAACAAGCTGACCCATTGCGTAAAACCCCACGTAGTCCATAGATGAATCTCCTACGTCTGCTTCTTCTCGTTGTCGTTTTGTCTTTGCGATAAATCGCAACTTACTCCACCTTTTTCCTACTCGTACGAGCTGCAGCAATTCCCTGGGTGTTTCTGTGAGAGCAGCCAAGACAATGAAATTCATCATGAATGCCGCTTGCTTGGGAATGTTGCGCGCGAGAATCTCAACTGTCGATGTTGGCTTGTCAAGGATAACAGCCAGTTCATCCAGAAATGTACCAGCAAATGCGACAAAAAGAAAATTAGAAAACGTGATGAACACAAAATACCAATCACGAACAAGGCCGTCTTTCTGGGCATGGGATACAATGCGCGAAATTGAGACGAAGAAATGCAGAATGTTGGGAACAATCGCTAGAAAGACCGTCAGGATCACGGTAGGCAGCCACGACTCAATGAAACCGACGGCAAGCGGAGACCACTCCTTCATTTGGTCAAAAAAGAGAAACGGTTTCTCTCCACCGATCTCAAGCTGAGCAAGCTTGGATAAATTGACAAGTCCCATGATAGCAGTAACTGGAACGATCCAGAACAAGGTGAGGGAAACACAGAGTAATGCAGTTACGCACTGTCGCACATACACGGTCCAGCTTGAAATACCCAGGGCTGACCAGTTAATGGCAGTTGGCTCAGGGGCACGTGATACTCTCCATTCATCCTCCTTGCGAGAAAAATTGGTTTGCGCCGCAATAGCAGCTACTTGCCTACTCTTAAACACGACTATTGCCGACTGGGTCTCTGGGAACTGTCCTTCGTCGGACTTTATGAGATGAGCCGAAACGTGTGCCCAATAGCGAACCTGCTGTTCTCTCCAATACTCAATGGCCTGAGTGGGGTCCCGTGGAGGTCCGCAAAGAAATTTCGGCAAACGTCGCGGGGTTTCGTCATGTGAAAAAGTACCAGAAGCAGATTCCACGGAATGGGGTTTACGGGTATAGGGGTTGTTTGTAGGATTCCATGCATTTTCCTTTTTCTTGCTTTTCTTCTTGCTTGATTTCAAATTCGCTTCATGCAAGCGAAGCTCTGCGACCTCTCGTTTGGCGACGGCGTTCCAAAACTTTTTCTTGTCCCTTTCCAAACGGCTAGCGTCGTGAATGAGAAAGACTCCAGCAACTTGATCTGGTAAGAGGCGGTTCCAATATCGGTGGATGATTTTTTCGGAGCAATGGACTAGCGGAACATCTTGGATGAGTATAGCATAATTTGATGGGTTGGGAGCTGCTCTGTACCTTCTTCGATCGCGGCAGTATAGAGAAAAGTGATAGATGATATGAAAGCAGACAAAGACGGCAATGCCGTACTCGACGACGAGAAGTAGCCAAAATCGCCAGGAATCTGTGCGTGGGACGTTGGATAGGGCAAACATGTTCAGGCCAAGGGTTCTCGAAGGGTTATCCTGAGGTAAATCCTTATTGGAAGCTGTGTAAAAGATTGGAAGCAGAAGAAGTGAAGGAAGCGAGAGGGCGGAGAAAAGGGCAAGCATGAAGCGATGATACCTGAGAAACAATGCAGCATCGAGGCCGTGTGTGTCTGCAATAGTTTCCAGGTCAATGCGCATGGTGGGGATGAACCACCCAAATGGGCGATGTGAAGGGGCTGGGGGGGAGTAGACGCGTTTTCCTGTGTAGTTGAGCTTGTCTCGTTGATGATGCATTTTGCGGCGGGTTTCAAAAATAGACGGGATACGACGGCGCAACGGGTCAAAAAAAATGAGACAGAAGAGAGTTGCAGGGATACCGAGGACGAGATTGATGTATAAACCGGTGGTCTGACTGTCGGCGTCCGCTGAGAGCGGATCGGCCGGGTCGGCCATCAAGAGTGCGGCCGGAATGGTAGGGGAAGTAGAATAGAAACTGCGGGGTAGTCTGTGCGAAGTGGGTGGGTGACCGAAGTGTACAGCCAAGGGTGCGAAGGTGAGGGGAGGGAAGTTTTGAGAGAAACGGTTTGGGGGTTGTTTGAGTGATGGACGACCATGTCGTACAGGTGATTGAGATAAAGGGGGCCGGTATGGAGAACGTAAGGGTGCTACAAGCAACACAGGGGGGGGGAAGGTGCTATTCGTTTGGATGCAACGGATCTAAGCGCCACGGCTTGCTGGACCTGCCTTATGGATATGGACACAACCATTCATATCATCCCACATAGCCTATAAAGCTTTATGTACTGGATGGGATTTCTCCTCCGTATCATACCTGAATGGCTGGTACAGTGCGCACACGTGTACCAATCGGATTGCATCCGTTGATCACTTGTGCAATAAACATGAATACAGTAAACTTTACAGTGCCGTGGTACAGTACCAAGGGTACAAGTAAAGTTACTGTCCCTGCGTTGCTGCATTATTGACAAAACACATCATGACCTCAACGACTTCTGTACTCTGCACAGTACATTCATTGGTTTACTCGAAGGGGACGCGCGCGGTCCTAGTGTCTAGACGACAAGCGATTTGCCTCATACGAGGCCTACTTTTTTTTGCAAAAAAAAAATATTAAATCGAAACTTTAAAAAGTCATTTTGGACACCATTTCTTTAACGTACATGCCCTCGGCAAAGACTAAGAATCTAGTGTCTAGGTGACAAATGGCCTCATATGAGGTCACTTTTCAACTTAATTTTCTCGACTTGTGCTAGCTGAACAAAATGGAAAAAGATACTCTCGCCACCGCAGTTGACTTCTGCGCTGTGGAAGGGTGGAGCTTGGTGAGATCTGCATGTCCTTTCCAGGCTTTTTGAGAATACCTAAAGAAGAAGCTTTTTTAAAGAACATCAAAACGTTTTTGTTGATATCTTCGAAACCAAAACGCCTGTTTAAAATATCATCCGATTGTTGAAACTATATTAGATTCTTAGTATTTCTGTGTATTCATAACTGCTATCCCGATGTTTTGCAGGAAGCTATTGCCGAGGGAATATTGGTTAAAGAAATGGTGTCTAAACTGATTTTATAAAATTTCGATTTAATGTATACTTTTTTGCAAAAAAAAACCCGCCTCATATGAGGCCAAGCCTGACCTCATATGAGGCAAATTGCCGGTCGTCTAGACACTAGTGAAGTTTCAATATCCGGTTGACATTCCAAACAGCCGTTTTGGTTACGAAGACATCAACACATAACGTTTCGAGGTTGGTCAAAATGGCTTCTTAGTTAGGCATTCTAAAAATGGCTGGAAAAGACGTGCACATTTCACCAAACTCTACCCTTACGCAACGCAGAAGTCAACTGCGGTGGCGAGAGCATCTTTTTCTTCCCTTTTCTTTCTTGTTGAGCAAGACTAAGGCGAGAAAAATAAGTTGAAAAGTAGCCTCATATGAGGCCACTTGTCGTCTAGACACTAGCAAAGAAACTATCTCTGTAGTCCCGTACTTTGCACTTTCAACGGCCCCGCAAACGCCTTTCTTTTGCCCATTGCTCCGCCTCGTCAAACTCTGGGATCATGCAGTCCACTACCTTCGCCTTCGGCCTATTGTGTCTACCCCTTTGGTCATCCACCCATACACCAAAGCTCGATGGTAACGCGTACACAAATGCATCACTAAAATACATCACCCCTGCATCCACTACTGCCGAAATCCCCATCACATCTTGTTTCACGTCATATTTGTCCGGTTCAAACCTTGCCAGGTCCGGCAGCTCTCGCTTAAAATAACTGACGCTTGTGTTCAGCATCGCCTCAATCTCGGGCGAGCCAATGTCCCCACCTTTCCAACCAGAGTTCAGCATGTCAGACGCTAGGAAGAACCCCACATTCTCCCCCATCTCAGCGGCTTGTGTTTTCGCCTCCTTCACCAGACTCTCCGTGCACGTCGTCAACCATCCCTCAAACCGTTCAACCGCTTCGTTGCTATTCGTGAAAACTGCATGCCTGCGCAACAGAGCAGATGCCTTACCCGTCCGAAACTGAACCCCTACGTATTTTTTCCCTCCGAGCGACTCGCGCGCGACGCGTTTCGCCAACTCTTGTTGCTTTTTCCCAGTGAGGATAGAAGGATATTTGTTCTTGATGAGCTTCTGTCGATTTGGTGTCGGCTCAATACCGCTGAATAAATGCTTTCGGTAGTTGATAAACATGATGGAAATGCACTCTTTGCACTCTCGCTTCAGCGGACGCGTTCCAGCTTTGACAAAAGCGAAAAGGTCTTCGAAAAGCGATACGCTGGCCTGTTTTTTTATAGAGCCTTTGCGTGTGGTATGAAATGGGTTGAGACACAAAAGACGCTGCACTTGAAAAGCAGGAACGATGGCCCTTCCATAGCGGCTCTTTTCCCACTTCCACTGCAGTTGATCAAAAATGTCATCGCACCAGTAAAAGCTCCTCCCGCGGTGCACGTGCTCTTCTTCATCCCACGGCACCCAGACGGCGGCTTGAACGACAAAGGTGTCCTGTGATTCGTTTGTGACTCTAACGCGCTGTCTGAGGGTGTCATGTGTGATGAGGCGGTGCTCCTTGAAGAAAGGGGAGAGATCAAAATAGACGCTGGCCGGCTGAGGGGAGAGGCCCTGTTGTTGGAAGAGTTCTGGGAGAGCAAACTCATTGATGGCGTGGGATTCGTATATGAAGGGCTCGACAATGGTAAAATTGCGCTCAATGGAATGGAGAAGAAGGGCGGCAAGGGCGTTCTGCATGTTGACCATGCGCTCCCACATGTCTGTAAAGAGCAGGAGGCGGGTGGCAGGATCAGGAAGAGGAAGGGAGGGGTGAGAGGCAGAAGAGGCGTTAGGAGTTATGTGTTTAGTTTCGGAGGTGGAATGTTGTTGGTGTTTTGGTTCTTGGTGGTTTTCAGAGGGGGGTCCAGTGGGATGTTTGTGTTTTGGGGAGTAGAGCCATGGGCCGGAGATGGAGGGGAAGGGTGCATTGCGGGCGTGGAGGAAAGCAACGAATGCAAGGATGATGGCGACAAGGAGGGCCAGAAGGGGGACCGGGATGATGACGCGGGAGACGGGGTGGGCGAAGCGTGGGCGATGTACCGAGGGGTGCGAATGGAGATGGCGCTTAGCGTCGGATGGGGAGTTGGGGGGGGAAACTTTCATGGGGCTGACCATGATGAGGCGGGCTTGGAGGGAGAGTGTGTATTGTGTCGAGGAAGAGAAATTTGGAGGAGGGGATTGCGTGCATGGCGGCGGGACTTGTAATGGAGAGGGAAAAGGAGCGACGCGGGGACGGGAGGATCTGGGAAAGCCGGGTTGAGGTCGGGCAAGGATGCATTTGAGCGCGAGGTGGGATGAGGCTGGTTGAATTAGAAAAAAACAGGGGCAGAGACGGTGGGGCCTGGAGGGGGAAGCGGGGGGGAAGGGTAAGCCTACGACGATAGGGGGCAGTAAACAACGCGATTGCAATACATGCCGTGCCCCAATGATACTGTAGTGCGGTGGTGTAGGGTCGATCCGTAGGGGTGGTGCAAAGTGCTGTTCTGTTAATAAAGTGCCCCCACCTGCACTTGTTCGCCGAACGAGTTTGTGTTTTTTTTTCTCGAAAATAATTGGTGATGTGAACTTCGTGGAGGAAAATCTGCGGAAGCGTTTGTTGCAAGTTGCCCATTGATTGGATCACTAGTAGATTTCTGGTTCAATACTGTATGTACGTACTGTAGATATCAGCTAGATATTACATTACTTGAAAATGTCTTGAGAGGTGCACATGGCGCGGTGACCTGAAGGACGAGATTATACCAGAAACGGTAGAAGTGACTTGTGAAACCGGTGGGTGTGTGACCCGGTTCTAACTCAAGAGAAACCCCCAGTGTGACGCGTCTCAACTTTTTCTGATGTTTTCCATCCTGCCTCGTAAAAGCAATATTGTGTAAATTATCCCTTCCTCGTCTTGCTTGCCCTCTATTAAACATTTAATTTTACCCGTTTACGCCGCTCCTGAGGAGCGGCGTAAACGGGTAAAATTAAATGTTTTTACTGCCTGAGTCCAGACCGTACCGTGTCATCTCACGGCGGTATCTGTGCCCCAATAAGCTCGTCCCGCTTGGCGCTTACACGCGATGCGGAGCACTTGCCTGCTGAGGTACTTGCCTGCTGAGGTATCATGAATGACACTTGCATCACCCTTCTCGTTTGCTGAGACAACTTCCTATTTCCGTCGTCTGCCACAGCTTTACAATACCCTTGGTACCGTACGGTACAATATCCTACAATAGGCCTGACAAATATCCGTCAGATCGCCTCGCCCATCGTGGTTGTTCAGACCAGTTATGCAATCTCACCTTTGTCGAACCCAGTACGCGACATCGACAGATAAGATCAATCGTCCAATATTTACTGCTCTTCAATCATCACACGAAAAGTCTACGGCATATACGCAAACATTTGCAAACATGGCCTACAGGACATCGCCCTTCTATTTCTTCACACCAGTCACCGAAATTTCTTTTCCATACGCCTTAGCCCCCCTGTTAATCTCCCCCACCATAAATTTCGCAAGATCCTCGCGATCAATATGTACCGTCGGCGGTTTGCTGTGCTTCTCAAATGTCGTCGTGTGCCCGGTCGCTTTCCCATCCGTCAGCCCCGTCGGCCTGACAATCAGCATCCTACTCTTATCCCCAATCCTCTGCTTAAACACCCGTTCTTGCTCAGTATGATCCTTCATTACATGCCTGAGCACGTACGCCACCACCATCCCGATACCGAAGCCGATGTCGATCTTGGTACCACCCGCCCCTGTGCTCGACACGACCATCACCTTGACGTGGTCCAAGTCTTGCCCGGGCTCGATCACGTCCATCAGCGCCTTGGCCGTGGCCTCGCGCACGTCCGTCGGCGCCGTGCTTGTGCCCTCGCCGATGCACATGATCGCCACTGACGCCTTCGTCGACACCAGCGCGCGCCGCACGTCGCTAGAGGACCGCGCGTCGCCGCGAACGATAGAGGCGCAAGATGACGCGTCACTCGCAGATAACTTGGACGGTGTGCGGCAGAAAGCGTGCAGAGTCACACCGCTTGACGAGGAGGCCGCCCGGATCAGCTGGCGCCCGAGGCTGCCGGTGGCGCCGATGAGGAGAACTTGTTGGGAAGTCATTTGTAGTTCCTTTTTCGATTGAGGTGAGTGTGAATGTTTGTTGAGTTGTTGATGGAGATGAGGTGAGGATGGAGTGTCAAGTCAGGAGCGGGAAAGGCAGGGCGGTGGTTATATATGGCCATGACATTGATGTGGGTGTTGAGTCCGAACTCGGGCAGCTCACCGGTAAAGATGGGATGTAATGGGATGAGGGGTGTTGTTGTTTGGGAATGGTATGGATGTTGAAGTTTCGAAGAGTCGGAGGGGATAGAGGGTAGTAGGGGAAGGATACATGCAGAGTTTGTGCGGATGGCCGGGAAAACATGGGATGGCACGCAGGCGGTGCTGTACCCTTCGGTGCTGTACCCTTAAGGGTACAGCTCATTTGATCTGAAGAAATCTCGCGAGTCCAGTCGCACAAATAGCCATTGAAATAAAAAGAAAAAACGCGAGTACAGTGCTGTAAATTATTGAAAAAGACGTGAAGTCGAGTAATTTTTATTGTACTACTTGTACCCTTCGAAGGGTATATCTTCATACATTGCCTTAACTCAAAACATCCTGACCAATCACATCCGCCTCTGCAAACTCAGCCTCCATCTCCTCCATCTCCTCCATCTCCTGCCATCCCACCCAGTCCCCTGCCTCTCCTGAATTGCTCCAGGCCGACGTCCTTTTATAAAAATCCGTCTCCACGTCACCAGCAACAGCATTACCTTGAGACTAGCAAATACTCATGCATTTCCTCTACCATGACGCATGTACGTGCTTACTTTATTGCCCCGTTTCGCTAATCATTGTCAGTTTCTACTTCTTCGTGGAGAGTACGTTTAAGCTTTAGCATTCATTGATGCCCTGAGAAGTTTGAATAAACAAACCTCAATCCACTACGTCTCATCCACACCTCTTTCTACTCTACTGATTGCAAGCGTGCACCTCAACCGCTGTCCTGTAAAGGGGAACCACAACCATTTCTCTGTACATATCATCTACTTCTGGTCTTGCGCATGGAATCCTTGAAAATCCACATCTCTTATTCCACTCTCATACCACCCCTGTCGATACTTTGACGTCCTCCCACTGTTTCTGTACAATGTCGCAATTGCAAGCGAGTTGCCTCCCGCAATGCTTCCCATCTTAAATCTTGGCCTCACTCTTCAGTGCCCTCTCTGTTCAAAGCCATGCCACCATGGGACTCGTGTTCGAGTTCAAGTCCTCATCTTCAGTCCGCGGAATCTTCAGCTATAGTGCCTATTGCCCCAGCTCCCGCTGGGTCATCCGTCAAGATCGAATTCTCAACATATGATGTGCTAATTTCACTTTCGGAGATCTCTGACACGTCCTCTGATGCTACTATTGTACATCTTCCAAATATCCACTTTCACTTCCAACAGCAACAGTCATCGGTACACCCCCACCCGCATCATTGCCAGTATCATCATCGTCATCTCCGCTACCATTGTCGCCCTCTTGCTCCTCGTTCGGAGAGGTGACAATTGATTCTTCTGGTATGGATTGAACAGAACTCTCGGCGTCCTCACCTGCCGGCAGAGAATCCTGCAACTCGTCGTTGGGAGCGTCATTGACGTTCTCTTCGTGGTGCGAGGAGTCCTCGCTGCTGACTTCGCTCGCCTCAACGTTACCACCACCATCCACGTTCGATTCTCCGCTCTGTCCGTTCGTCTGGTTCGGTACGGAGCTGTCATCGCTTCCTACACTGGCGATGGAACCTTCGGGAGAAAGCGGATCTGCGTAAATGAGCTCCGATATTTCTGATTTGCGAACGTACTGCAGCATGTAAGCGTTACAGTCTCGCTCGCCGCCCACGCCAAAGTTTCCTTCGGTCACGTCTCGTTGACAAGACGGTGTGACTTTGGCCCCGTCAAACTTGAGCCATTTTGGAGCTCTTGCCGCTTCGTCTTCCCCGTTCTGCTCGTCCCTGTCCTCGCCTTTGTCCTCGCCCTTGGCTTCGTCCTTGGCTTCGTCCTTGGCCCCGTCCTTGGCCTCGTCCTTATCCTCGTCCTTATCCTCGTTCATGTCCCCGTCCTCCGGCGCCTCCCCCAAGCCTGAACAAACATAGGCATAGTACGACCCACTAGAAGTTTCCAGGTCGTCCTCAAACGCAATGACAGCATGCAGGACGAAGATATCAGAACCATCCGAATCTGGGACGAGATAGTTGAGGTCAATTTCACTGTCATAGGCGAAGCGGTCGTTAATCTTCATGACATTTGCTCGTGAGAAATCGTATCTCCATCGACGTAGAAAGAACTGGAGAATGGAAGGGAGCTTTATGATGGTTGTCCGCTTTGTAGCCTCCTGAAGCTGTTCGAACCCGTCGGCGCGATATTTGTTTTCACCCGACAAGACTTCTACGGCCATGTAGTCGTTTAATGACTCGTATATATCAGCGCACCCCCTGACGTTGAGCCACAAATCGCAAAACGTTTCGTTGGTGACGCTGCGACAATTGACATTGAGACATTCGACAGTATTCTCGAGGCGGCCCTCGAATAAACGAGCTAGCTTTGTCGTGGTTTCAATGGCGGCGGGGCCCATCTCGGCCACGACAGTACGAAAGAGACAGACCTTGATATCAAGGACATCAAAGGGCGTGTCGTGTGCACCATACTGCCAGCCCATGGCGCGGGGAATATCAAGCAACTTGCGGGGTCTCTTAGCGCACTCCATAGACGCAAAGACTGTCCTGAGGGCGTGTGTGGCGCTGCAGGCGCGGTCGTCCGGGACGGCAAGGACCTCCTTAGGGATATGATAGACGGCGGTTCTCAAGGCGCCGATAGCAAAGAGACAGTGCAAGGTGGCGTTGAGATAGCCCAAGCCGTGGGCGCTAAGGAGGCCGACGCGACCGGTTTTCTTCTTTGAGTTCCAGGCGGCACAGGACTCTTGGTAGCGCAAGGAGTTTTCAATGGGGATGCAGTCCTCGCGCAGGGTAAGGTCAACCATAATGGTAAAGTTGTGGTAGGGGTCGAGATACTGCGGATCGAGGGTGGCTGGGAGGGGAGCAAACTCAAGAAAGCCCCAATCGGCGACGCAGTCTGTAAACTCGTGGGAGGTGTCCTTGTAGACGCCACTTGTTTCGTTGCAGAAGAAGGAGTCGAGGCTGGCGGTGGAGTGATTTGAGGTGGGGAATGATGAGTCTTGGTCTTCGAGAAAGTTTGCAATGTCAGAAGTGCGATCCAGACGCTCGACGAGCATCTTGGCCTTTATGAGATGAAGACCAAAATCTGCCTTGCGACGCCAACGGGTTTCGTCGGACGAGGTGGAGCTGGAGGCGTCGTTGCTGGGAGTGGAGGAGGTGTCAATCTTAGGACGTTCGGGGTCCTTGTTTTCCGGGGGAGGATTGACGGGGCCGCCGCAGTCGAGATAGACGGACATGTATTCAATTCCTG